GCCTTGTAGCATTAGCAAGATACATAAGTGCACCAATTGCACTGAGATAGGGTGTTTCAGGACCAAGGAGTTCCTCATCCTCTTCTGGAGGTCGGGACGGGTCCTTATTCACTTCAAGTGATCGAACAACCATTGGTGTACTCAATGAGTGCGCTTTGTTCATGTAAAAGCATTTTAAGACCCTTTATGTATAGGCAGATTGATGCATAAAGATCTCGTTTGCTAAATGTTCAATTTGCAATCCAAGACAAAGTTTTGTTTTTCCAAGATGTTTCATCTCAAATTCTTTCTTAAGATATTCAATTGCCTTTTGGAGTTCCAACAAGATTTATATCATCAACATAAACAGCAAGTATAACAAATTCTTATGTCATTTTCTTTATAAAAATACATGAACAAATAATATCATTTATGTAACCCTCTTTCAGTAAATATTCACTAAGGCGATTATACCACATGCACCCAGATTGCTTTAAACCGTACAAAGATCTTTGTAATCTGATTGAATACATTTCCCGATATTTTGAATATGCTTCAGGCATTTTAAATCCTTCAGGTATTTTTATGTAAATCTCATTATCAAGTGACCCATATAGATAAGCTGTAACCACATTCATCATATGTATTTCAAGTCTTTCACGTAAGGCTAAACTGATGAGATATCGAAATGTTATGGCATCCATAACTGGTGAATATGTTTCTTCATAATCGACTCCAGGTCGTTGTGAGAATCCTTGTGCGACAAGGCGAGCCTTGTATCTTTCAACTTCATTTTGGTCATTCCTTTTTCGCACAAAAACCCATTTATGACCAACTGGTTTTACACCAGCAGGTGTTTGGACTACTGGTCCAAAGACCTCTCTTTTAGCAAGTGCGTTCAATTCTGATTGAATTGCCCCTTGCCATTTTGGCCAATCAGATCTTTGTTGACATTCTTCGACAGATCGGGGTTCAAAATCCTCACTATCTTGCATAATGTTAAGTGCAACATTATATGCAAAAATATTATCCACCACTATTTCAGATCGATTTAAATTATTCCCATCACCAATAGAACTTATTAAAAGTTCCTTACTCACTTGAGTCTCGGGTTCATTAATTTCTTCAGGAATCTCAGAACTAATAAGATCTTGGGTCTCTTCAGGAGATCTCTTCATAATATCATTTTGATCATTTGTCGATTTTCTTTTTCTAGGATTTCGATCCTTAGAACCCAAAGGCCTACCAAGCTTCAGGCGTGCTTTAGGTTCACTAGTTCTTATGCTAGTAGATGGTCCTGCTGGGACATCAATTCGTATAGGCACATTATCTGTAGGGATATGTAACTTAGTTATCCTTTTCAAATCAGTAAACGTGTCTGGCATTTGATTTGCTATATTTTGTAAATGGATGATCTTCTGGACCTCCTGGTTACATATAGGGGTACGTGGATCAAAATAAGATAATGATGAAACTTTCCACACAATTTCTCTTTTGATTTCCTTTTTCTCTCCCCCTAATTGTGGAAAATTTATTTCATCAAATCGACAATATGCAAATCGAGCAGTAAATAAATCTCCCGTAAATGGTTCAAGATAGCGAATAATAGAGGGTGATTCAAACCCAATATATATTCCTAACCTTCTTTGGGGGCCCATCTTACTGCGCTGTGGTAGTGTTACTGGCACATATACAGCACATTCAAAAATTCGTAGATGGGCAATATTTCGTTCATGACCAAAAACTAATTGTGACGGAGAATATTTATTATAATGTGTTGGTCTGAGACGGATAAGTGACGATGTGTGCAAGATAGCATGGCCCCAAACAGTAGTGGACAATTTTATTTTCATAAGTAGTGGTCTTGCTATTAATTGTAGTCGTTTAATAAATGACTTTGCAAGGCCATTTTGAGTATGAACATAAGCTACATGATGTTCAACTTTTATTCCAACTGATAGACAGTAATTATCAAAAGTTTGAGATAAGAATTCTCCAGCATTATCAAGGCGAATAGCCTTTATAGGATAATCTGGGAATTGTGCCCTTAATCGAATTATTTGGGCTAATAGCTTTGCAAACGCCAGGTTGCGAGATGATAGTAGGCACACATGAGACCATCTTGAAGATGCATCTATTAGGACCATAAAATATCTAAACAACCCACTTGGTGGGTGAATAGGTCCACATATATCCCCATGTATACGTTCTAAAAAGGTAGGGGACTCAATGCCAACCTTCATTGGTGACGGTCTAGTGATCATTTTGCCTTGATAACAAGCATCACAAGATAATTCATCATTTGTAAGAATCTTCAGGTTCTTTAATGGATGCCCACT